TAGACAAGATCTATTCATATTCCATTTTGGATTAGTTTTACTTCCCTAAAATAAAATCAATCTAATCTTCATCAAAATGAAATGGAAATGATATAAAACTCCAACAACAATTTAACTGTTTTTCCACAGGTACAAATCAGATTAGAAACTGCTCTAGATATATTTTGATTCGGGGCAAGAAGAGATATCAAAGAATTTCCCGAGAAAATTGAGAAATAGATTGTCAAGATTAATTGTTTATTTTCTATATTTTTTTTTCAGTTTTGATACTTTGGTATCTAAATGTAATTATTAAGTAATAATTATAATTCTAACAATAATAGCAATAATTATGGTAAATCATAATCATGATAATAGTAATAAGGAGAATGATATTGATAATGACAATAGCAGTGATAAAAATCATTATGATAGTAATAACAACGGTTATCATATATATATATATATATATATATATATATATATATATATATATATATATATATATATATATACATATATATACATATGTATATGTATATATATATATATATATATATATATATATATATATATATATATATATATATATATATATATATATACATACATATATATATATATATATATATATATATATATATATATATATATATATATATATATATATATATATACGGTTATCAAAGTAAAAAATGTGTTAATAACTGTGACAGTTGTATTCATAATGATGAGCTTCATTTCTTAAATAATGAGTTATAAGACAAAGTTCCTCGCTGTAACGTTTAGGGAGGAGCGGGAAAAGATCAGGAATTTCTTCAGGAGGTACTCTGCAAGGCCTAACCATTTTATTTCAATTTTATTTAACTTATCCCTTCCGTGCTACTTCTTCGCATGCCCTATTAATCACGTGGGTATTTCATTAGATTGAGTATTCTCCTTTTCCCTTCCCTTCCCTCTCCCTTTCCTTTTCCTTCCCTCCCCCCCTTCCCTTCCCTTTCCCTCTCCCCTTCCCTTTCCTTTCCCTGCCTCCCCTTCCCTTCCCTTTCCCTCCCTCCCCTTTCCACCCCCTTCCCTTCCTTTCCCTCCCCCCTTCCCTTCCCTTTTCCTCCTCCCCTTCCCTTCCCTTTCCCTCCCTACCTCCCCTTATTTCCTTCCCTCTCTTCCTTCCCTTTCTCCTCCTTTCCCTTCCCTTTTCTTCCTTTCCCTTTCCCTCCCCCCCCTTTCGACAAGATACCTAAACTAATTTTTATATCTTACCCCCCCCCCCCCAGGGATAAAGGTCGACATGACAGCTCCCGTGACAACGCTCTTCGTCCCGTGTCAAGGCCTTCGATGTGCTACCAACTACACCATGAGCTTCTACGTCCCCGCCGCCCACCAGGACAGCCCGCCCACGCCCACCAACCCTGACGTGTACATCGAAGACCGACCTGAACTACACGTCTTCTCCAGGTAAATGTTTCGTTGCAATACTTTTATCTATTTGTTCATTTATTTGGTGCTTTTATTACTCATGATTTTGGTTCTTGGGTGAAAAGTATGGCGTGGGATGAATAATAATAATTAGACAGTGAAGAAAGGTAATATATTAATGATGATAATAATAATTACATATTTAATGCTGTTGACAATATTGATATAGATATCAATAATGATGATGAAGAGGAAGAGTAAGTGATAGATACAGTTAAACAAAGCAGAATCACTAAAATGTATAAATCTTAGAATAAACTCGAATAACGATAATAATAATATTTATTATTATGATGATGATGATGATAATGATAATGATAATAACAATAATAATAACAACAATAACAATAATAATAACCAAACAACTCGATCAACGGCCATAGGCGGTTCCACGGGTTCGCCAGCCACAAGGACTACTTCGACAACGCCGCGCAGCTTCACGACGACCTGGTGGCAGCCGGCGAGGAGGGCGTCGAATATGACACTTTCTACGCCGTGGGTTACGACTCTCCCTTCGTCATCGTCGGCCGGAATAACGAGGTTTGGTTCGTCAAGAAGTGAGGGAAGTCAGCCCAATGGAAGCTGGTGTATTTATTTGTGTTATTTATTTGTTTGTTTTATTGTGATATATTTGTCTGTAATGGTTGGTTTGGAATAAATATATAGAGATGCTGGAATAGCAAGGATATTTCTTTGTGTATTTATTTGCGTTTTTTGTGGTCTTGGTTTATGATTGGTGATGACTTGAGGTTGTGATTGATGACTTATGTGTATGATTGGTGATGATGATATAAAGTTTTGTTTGAGGAAATAAACAAACTCTTGGAAAGAATTCCGAACTGCGAATAATGCAGTTGGTTGTATGTAAGTAATAAATGCATGAATATATAAGTGGTCCTTTCCATAAACCTTTTTTAATAACAGATATGATTCTATTGAAAATCCATATATAACAATAGAGGTTACTAATATTGAAACTAATAATACAATGGCATTGAAACAGCAGTAGATGGTAGTGGCTATAACAACAATGAAAATGTAATAC